CTTGATATAGTCAATTAGATCCCTTGATATCCTCTTTATCTTTATCAGTTACCACTAAACAAATGTTTTTGTCGCTAGTTGGAGGTGGTTGTAGCCTTCTTCACTTTGACGGCTACTGTCGAAGGTATACATGGTCTATTTAATTTTTGCTTGGTACTCTTTCATTTGTTCCATTCAATCAAATCTGTTGGCCTTCTTTTCCTTTCGCCATAAGCTTCACAACAGGGACAAATAATGGCCTCCACTTCTCTTCTTTTTTGGTGGATTTTTAATGCTTAAAAAACAAACTGGTGGTTTCCATCTTTGTGAACTTGGTGCCAAAAAGTGGTAGAGAAATTCCTTTTTACTTTCTAAATTTCTCGACCAATTTCTCCCTTTTCAGGGAAAAATCATATCTGCCTGTTAGTTTCCAAAGGAATTTTTATCATTCCCCATTTCCAGTAGAACTCTTCTTCCTTTAATGTGGCTGGCTGGCTTCCTTTTTTTCAAAGGAAACTGCTCGAAAAATCCTATTTAAGTGCTCTCTTTGCTAGTTTTCAGTAGATCACTGCCCGTCATATTTTTCGGTGGCTTTTTGGTACGTGGTAAAACATGGTTAATGTACCGTTTCTCACAGACGGCGTCAATTTGTTGACCCCAAAAAATGTGCCAACATAATCCCCGTCACGTCCCTTTCACGTGGACATCACCTGCACATCGAACATCCCGTTAAGAGGCAAAGATCGCCTGTTAAGAAATAGGTCCGGAGACCGTTTGTACTCCGACGGTCAAATCAACGACCGAACAAAAGAAAAATGAGTGCAAGAGACGAAAGAGAGGAAGATGACAAGGTTAGAGAACGTCCCTTAATTGAAATGGATCACACATAAATATAAAGAAACAAATGGGCCGAAAGGGTAATGGGCCAAGGTCTAAGTCCAATAGTAAATATTTTATGGGTATAACACTAGGCTTTTGATTACATGGAGTATGACTAGGTCAAATGAATTGTCTTTTTTCAAGATTTTATAATTTTCTCTCTTTCTCTCTCCAAAATAAGAATCAAACCCAGATTAGTGACACAATTCATGTAATTGTCCTTGATAAGACTAGATATGTAGTTGTTTAGAACACATAAGTGATCGTTAACTCACAAGCACGCTAGGGGAGGGCTAGACTGATTAATAGACAATGTTCTTTTATTAAATGAAAAAGTATCAATATGACAAAGTTCCAAGGATTGAGAATATGAATTTGCTAGAGTTTTGGATTCTAAAGGTTTTATGTGATATTGATAAGATGTCAACATTCAAGGTTATCATCAAGAAGTTGTGTGTCAAGTGCTAAAATAGTTACTGTTCATTAGGACTCCACATTAGCTACAAAAGGGTTCATTTCATGNNNTAGCTACAAAAGGGTTCATTTCATGTCACATGTCTATATTCGTACTTAGGTCGTCGAATCTCAGTTGAAGCGAAAGATATCTCAACCGCTGAAATACCATTTAACAAAGAAATGAGCATAATCATAACACTTGGCTAAACACAAGATTGAAGGCCTCCGCCACAAAAGAGCTCAATGTCCTCTATTATGGTAAAAAACATTAGTATGAAATTTGACACAATCAACCTAAAGTTCAGTGCAATAAACCCATACATTCACACATTGAATTGCTTAACAGATGTCACAAAATCACTGAACAAGATCTTAAAGATTATACTTATCCCGACTTCCAACATAATGATCAGAGGATTTCATCAATTCATAAAAATATCTATAAATAGGGTCATTTGCACAACTTAATAAGGGTTGAAAATCTAATATCCAAACTTCCACTCTCTGAAAAAGCCGTCTCGAATCAAAGACAAATTAAGGGTCAACACTCTCGAAAATTATGAAGTTATCCTTTTGAGAAGCGCTTTTGGCCAAACCATCGCTGGAATCTACATTCCTTTCTTCTTACTCCGCCATTTGGCTCCTAAACAAACCTAAAACTTTCTAGAGGGGAAAAACCATGCCAAAATCCAACATAAACTTGAATGTGTGCTCTCAAAAATAATCTCGTTTTTTTAGGTCAACAATAGTAATTCTTGTAATTGTAAATAATCTCAACTATCAATAGACCATAGTTGAGAAAGCGAACATAACTTTAATTTATTATCCTTTTAAAAATATTTGACATTGGCTAAAAGTTCAATCATACTTGGTGTATATCATAGTATACATTACATTTTCCACATCACCACGTGTCAACATATTATTTGACAGTTTAAAAAAATAACAATTTTTTTCACCAATTAAATCTTCCAAACAAGAATTATGTCAAGTATGATGTAGAAATGTGATGTACAAGTGGTTTTATCCTTAAAAGTTACTTAATCAAAGAAACAATATGATTATATTCTACTGATATATTTATCTTTTCGGGCCTCCACCCCTTCGAGGTGGATGGGACTCCGCTAGCGGGTAGCAGCTGTGAGGTCTTACGTCAAAAAATAAAAATAAAAATGATAGGGTGGATGTGGGAAGGAAGTTATTATTTTCAAATCTTTTATTTATTCTCAATGTGGGTGACATTAATTAAAGAATTAAACGAGTGTAACGTTATTTATTGATTGAAGTCAGAAATAAATAATTTAATTACTTTGGAAATAGCTTTAACTTCGCTATCATAATACATTATTTTTTCAATAAATGTTGTTAGACCTCTTTCATATAGATCAAAATCTCAGTGCTCTCAACACCAAAGACAAAATATTAAATAAACTTAAAAGAATAAATTGAATCTCTATATGTATTACATGCTTACATTGTGCGTGGCGTTATACCGTGCAAGAAATAAAATCTAACATCATAATTACAATATTTTTATACTAAAGTCGAACATAATTTAGTGGTAGGATCATATAAAGCGGGAACTAAATATTTTCTTCCATTGACACCATTTGCATTGTAGCTAGCCCCAGTTGTAGGGTCCACCAGCAAGTCCCCGGCGTAGCCCGGGTAAGCCCCTTTAGCGTAGACCCCGGGGCAGGCAGAGGCAGCCTCCAATGGTGCATCAGATGGGCCCTGATAGTACCCATTTCCAAATGGGTTGGTGGCAGTCCCAGCTAAAAGGCTAGCCAAGTTGATAACCATGCCGTCCAAGCCCACATCATTATTGGGTGCAACTAATGGTGGGCCCTGTGGGCCGTAAATGGGCTGGTGA